TGGCATAAATCTGAGCAGTCTTCAGCATGAAAACCTCCATTACTTCAAGCGTTTGCCAATTTTGCTAGTGCTGGTGGAACCTGGGGTGAAGCTTCTCTTCCCGGGTAGGTGAAACAGGACCTGGACACCTGCACAAGGTCAAGGTACCCAGGAGGGGTCTCTAAATGGTCCCTGCCTCCCAGGGACACAGCTTGCCCTTCTGCGAGCCCGAGGGTCCGCAGCTCAGCCTCTCTCCTCCTCCTCCTCTGCAGAAGCACACTGTAAGTGCACGTGGCTTCTGGGACTGGATTTTACGTGATGCACAAAGCTAATTCCTAAAACTAGCCTCGCGAGAGATACGGCCAGGGCTGCCTGCTGCCTTCCTCCACTCCCCCCTCCGCTTCCCTTCCCTTTGCTGCTGGAATTAAATAGGATTTTTACTTTAGCACCCACACCTGCAGCTGCTGAAAAGTCCTACTGGAACCACTCCAGCAGCAAAAGACAGGCAGGTCTAAAAGGATCTTAAATCAGGGAAAGTTAATTTCCTTTCTGGATAGTAAGGAAGCTGCAAAGTGAAACACTGCTCATGTTTTCCAACTGCAGCAAAGAATCAAAGCAGCAATCACAAGACTTTTCCTGAACCTAAGAGCTTCTAGACCAAGGTTGAAAACGTACAAAACTGTGCTGAGATCTGAATTAAAAGCAAAACATGCTACTAAAACTCACGCCAACTTCCAAGGACTGTTTTTAGCCCCATCGTCTGAAGGAATTAATCCTAAATGCTGGCTGAGACAGGAAAAACAGAAAGAGCTGATGAAACAGCATCGTTCTACCTGGTCAGCTGAAGTTGTCTGAGAGCAACAGAGTTGTCTAGATTAAGAGAGGCTCAAAGTACCGGGAGTGCAATTTTTACAGTGTTACAAGATCCTATTATTTGATTCATTCATTTGGAATTGCACTAGCTTCAGAAGCCAATGTGGCTGTTATAATGCTATATATAAGGGAAGGAGTGGCTCCCCAAAATATAAAATAAAATTAACTCCCCAGACCGCTTATCTAACAATATCTGAGGTGGTAACGGTAAGAAATTAAAGTACCAATATCAAGTTTATTTCTGTTAAACACATTTCTTATTGTGAGGTTTGCTTTTTGCATATTGTGTTCAATAAGCTTCTGCTGTGTGATTTAAAAAAAAAAGGAAGTTTATAACAGATCTGTATATGTAGTTAAGAGTCGATTGATTCAGAAAAGAAATCCACTGATTTATAGATCCTAGGAAAAAACGTGGTTTGTTGTGATTACAGTCTGCATAACTAAAAAGACAAACAGTGTATCTTTGACTGACACAATAACTTTACCTCTTTCTTTTCTTCCCCCCCCATACGTTCCAGCTGAAGGGCTTGAGTTTCACTGCTAGCAGCAACCACACAGAGGAACTCGTGGCATAATCACAGAACATAAAAGCCAATAATGGGGATTCAATTAGTGGTTTCCAAAGGCAGAAGAATTTTTCTGCCAAATATCAAATCGTTCCCGCAGATAAGGCACCCAGTGTGTGTCAAAACTGCCGATGTAAATTCTCATGTCCACGTGTCGTTACAATTTGTTATGTCATCAGCAACGTCTATTCTGTACATGTCAGATATCAAAGGCAAGAGGCAGAGGCAGGCTGAGGCTTACCTTCCACGTCGCCGCGTTGCGTCTGAAGTAAGCAAACATTCGCGTGAACCAGTTGTAGATTTCATTTAGTGTTAGCTGTTTTTCTGGAGATTCGAGGATGGCCTTGCGAAGCAAAGCAATTACAAGATGAGTTACGAGCACATGGGTACAAAATACACTCACAGTTTTACTTGACCAAATACAAAAAAGGAAAGACGGAAAGACAGAAAGAAAGAAGGAAAGCAGGAAAGAAAGGAGAGATTTGGAGCAAAAAATCCAAAGGAGGGTTTTCACAATATGAACTAAGATTAATGGCTGTATTTAACAGTTCAATGGCAAAATTCAAAATGGAATTATCTAATTGTTTTGAGTTTTTATTTCTGTTTCCTTACAGAAATATTAATTTATTAGTCATTCATAAAGCAGAATCAAAGAGAAATGCAAAACATTTCACTAGCTGATTAAAGCTCAGTAATTATTTAGAGCTCAGATTAATTCTAGGGATCAGAGATTACTGTAGCTTGTGATAATTGACTTGCCATCTTTAAACAGGCTCATTTTCACTGTTGTGTGAAATGAATTTCCTAATAATCACATCGTATTGTAATACTTAATCAAAAGCAATTATGTTATATATTGCAGTTCTAAAAACCCTTATAGTAAAGGTTTGAGCATTTGAGCATGCTTACATACCAAAGGTTTGAAAATCTATTTAATCCAGAGTGTGCACATATAGGGAGATACTTTTTTTTCTAATCCAAACACATGTGTTCGGCTCAGCTTACCTGTCTAATTAAAGATGCATACGTGAATGGTGGTCTAACTTCTGCGTTCTTATAAAATTCTTGGTTCTGGGCAATATCTGCTAAATAAGAGCAGTTGTTCTGTTATTATCACAGCCTGCCGCTGCCGGGCTGCGGGCAACAGCAAGTCACCCCACCGAAGGGGCTGCGCCACCAGAACCCCTTTACCTGAAGAAATGGGGACGTTGTATTTATCCGAGTACCGCCTCCGGATGGGTCCGACGTTGTGCATGCTCGTGGTAGTGATGACCGACGGTCCCTGCGTGACGGGAGTGATGGGCGCAGTCGGGGTGGTGGGAGTATGAGGTAAGCTCTGCGGAGACGCCTCGGATGCAGTCTTGGAAAGCGTGACGCTCGATACCAGATTCAGCTGCGGAGGGAAGGATGAGGATTTCGTTACAAACGGCATTTCTGGCTAATTAAAGGCTGCAGAGAAAATTCTCGATAACGGGGTCTTCCTCAGTTCGAAGCAGACAACGCAGCCCGAGCGCTTGCTGCGGCACAAAGTGCTGTTGTAACATCTCCATTAGGAGCCCGTAAAGGGAAATAAACATATACATTTCCGGATAGATTTTAAAAAAAGAATAACGTAGCCTGCTGTCAGAACTACAAATCGTGGATTTTTATCTAAACCTTAAATAAAGATCTCACACAGTACATAATCATTTTAATATTTTATTTTAGTTCCATTGTTTCACAATCTAAACCCCGCAGGTCTCTTATTTCCATGCTATCATTATGCATGGCTTCTAATCAATCTTCTTGGATATTTCATTGAAGGCATCAGGCTTAAAATAAAAGGCAAGACTTTCCTAGGGACGTACTAGGGAGAAACGCAATCCCTTTCTTCGGCATTTGGACTTCCCCCCCCCCCCCTTCCCCCCGTTCACCCATTTTAAACGAAAAGCCCAGAGAAGGTTAACCCTGGAATAATTTAATTAATCACACCGCATGAAATACTACAAGCATTCAGGCCAGCAGAAGTGGCACCACTCTCTTTTTTTTTTCCTCCCAGGACGGAAGGCATCAGCGTTACCTGCACGAAGCCCAGCCCCGGACGAATGGCAACGTGCCACCGCGGGCTGTAAAACACAACTGCCTCTGGGACTGCGTATCCAACCCAGCTCCAGCTCAAGTGTTTTCGATACACAACCCTATTTATATAACCGGCATCCACATTCCTCCCCGACCCTTTCTTTTTGCCCTACGACACCCTTTGAAAGACGATGCTCCGTTTCAATAGGTCACTCCCGCTGAAGTATTTTAAACAAACAAGCTGATCTCTTAACTACAACATCAGAAAAGACGACTGAGAAAAGGGCTCTTTGACTACTTCCACATTTCCTTCCCTGAGGCGGTTTTGCGAATAATATTGGTGAAATCTTGACCCCATTGAAGTCGGTAGCAAAATTCCTACTGAATTTAACAGGGCCAGAATTTTACAACTTTTGTTCATGATTAAAATTCCCTTTTGCTGGACATTAAACCTTTTCAGATGAAGGCAAGGCACACTACTCGGCTATGCCCCCAACATCTCGTGTTTATCCACAAGACACGGTCTTAATTTTCCTCATATGAAAGTAACCAGATAAGGAAACTCCCATTAGCATCCCTCGTACAAGTTAACAGCCACAAATAACGTTTCTTTCTAAAAATAATAGGATTTATCCAAAACAAAGGTAGTGGAAAATAAAGGGCTCTAACATTACAGAAAGGAGACCAACACAAAAAGCCCATCGTTCAGAGAAAGGGCGCAGCTGAGCGACAGATAAATTGCGATTGCTCTTCCCTCCCGATGGTGAGATGGAGCAAGCCGAGGGACGCCCGGCGCCGTACGGCCGTGGCGGGGCACCAGCAGCTCAGCACCCCTCCAGGGAAGGCCCGGCGCTGTACAGCCGTGGCGGTGCACCGGCAGCTCAGCACCCCTCCAGGGAAGGGAGGTGGTGAGCAGCAGGCTGGCAAACACCCATCTTTCCGCGCTTACAAACGATGCTTCGCCTTCCAACGGGAAATATTTAACACTTCGTGGCGAGGCTGGAGGGCGAGAACCCAGCGAGGGATCGCAAAAGGCGGTGAAACGCGGGTATGGATTTCCCAGAGGGTCCTGCGCCGGCATGAACCGCTGAACGCGACCCGGAGGCGAGCGCGGCTGTGCTGAGTCCCGCCGTGCCAGGCACTGCCTCCACGTGCCCACCGCTGGAGCCCCGTCTGTTTGTTGACTGGCGTGATTTAAGGACAGCGATTAGGGACATGTATATAGTAATGTCTCCCTGTTATCCATCTATCCATCTATTACATATGATAAAAGGACCAGTGACGATAATTATAGTACAACTGACAGGTCTCACCATGAAATTAAATCTACTGTATTTTATCTCAGTTTCTAAATGGACATTTTAACAGTCCAATAACTACAAGCAAATCTGCATCAATGTTAAGTGCCCGTCTCTAGCGCAGGCTCGGCAGCCGGGCCCTCCCGTTGGAAAGATCACTGCTCGTGCTTCATCATTACGGCTCCAACTACTCCATTTCAAAAGAGTCCCCTTCCTTTTTTAGCGCGTAAAAACTTAACATTTAATCTGTTTCTAGTAGGGAACTGCAAGAAAGGATCCGCAAAGGTCAGTGTTCCCCGCTTAAAGAATTTGAATTGAGCTACATTTCTTTAGGCTTTTCGGCATAGGTAGCAACTAGGAATAAACACAGAAGAGGACGAGCAAAGGGGGGGGCTTTAACAGGCTTGACAAATGACACTGTGATTCACACCCACTGCTGGGCTGCCACTAATAAGCTACAGAGGAAGCAGCCAATCTCAGCTAATTACCAGATAAAATTGTATTGTAAGGACTCTAATTAGGAGATGCTTATGGAGGTGATCTAATGATTAAACGCTGCATCCGAGTGACCCCACCATCAATGTGCAGTGGTGCAAGATGTCACCGGAATATTTTGTAGAAACAGTAATTTTATTTCAAGGAGGGGAGTCAGTAATATTTGTAATAATGGCTATGAGGTAAACTAATTAAAAGACAGTTCCTAAAGGAAGACTGTGGCTTTGAGCAGCTGTGGCCGTTCCAAAACAAAGTGCCAAATCTCAACAGAGGAGCTGCAGTCAAGTGGAAAATTTCTGCCTGACCTCTGCTCTCGCTATTAATTTGCAGGAAAACTAATGACACATATACATATTCCCACAAAATTGTTCTAATTGCTAATTTGCCAAAGGAGCCCAGTTTCCAAATTAAACATGACTGCAGTCTGTGAGGAAAGAGAGAACAAAAAGCTGGAACGCAGCGAGTGTGCTGCGTTTCACCTCCGACGACCATTTGCGAGCCTGAACCAACAAGTTAATGAAACACGACCTTGTCGATCGCTAGTGAAGTTTTTCCTTTTTCCGTGTTTTATTTGATGACACTCTCCTCTTCCAGCCGGGGTCCGATCCCTGCCAGTGCCGTTAACAAAACACGAGCTAGGGTATGGGAGGAGAGGGCTGCGCTCCCTCCGCAGACCCTCGCTGCTGCTTTCTTTGTTGCATCTATAGCGCGAAGGCTGAAAAATCGGTTGTGAATTAGAGCAGAATAACAAATTATGAATGGTGTTGGTTTTGTTGCCATCTTGAATTATTAATGGGAACGGTAAACTATTAAATCTTAATATTGGCGTCAATTAGAAACGTGAAAGCGGCTGTGGACGACTGTGCGGGGCAAAGATCAGGGAGGGACCAGGCTGGGAGGGTTTCTTTTCCTGATGGAAACTCGACACAGTTTCTCCCTGTTTGCATTTTCTATTTAAAAACAAGTTACTATGATTAGAAAAGTTGTTCGTGTCGGTATTTTGCAAACAGCCTGTTTCCCACGTACCGTAGTTTTTGGATGAGGTATCACCGCTGTCAGAGGGGAGGGAGCCTAAGTCACAGAGTTAGCGCTTTGCTTTAACGAGCAAGAACTCCTGCACGGCAGTAAGGCACAACGTGGGGCACTCTCCAAGTTCGTCGGCAAGCACAGCCCTCGCACCAAAGAGTTAAACGGTTTTTGTAATGTTCCTACAGGGGATGGGGGGGAGGGAGGATTTCCTCCAGCCTTAAAAACAAAAACAAACCCCAAAAACAAGAAGGGGAAAAAAACCCAACAGAAAAACCACCAAAACCCACAAGTTTTAGGTCCTAAAATTCTTCACATTTAAGGGCTGAACCTTGTTGGGTGCTTCGTTCAGTTTTGGGTTTTGAGAACTTTTCCTCATGGTGTTTTAACTTAATCATAAATGCCACAATTGTTTCAGCGTTCACTATCCTGCTTAGGATCTTATTATTAACCTTCCCTTTCAAGAAACAGTCATGCCTTCCTATTAAAGGTGAAGACTGAGTCATTTTCTTTTTTTTTTTTTCCTTTAGATATAAACAAGGCAGAGAGGTAACCCTCTCCTTTGCTCCGTAAAATAGATTTCCAGTAAGTGGCTCTTGCTAGGGCTAAGTCTGATTTCTTTTTGTGTAAACATTTTACATTACAATAGTGGCTACGCACATGAAAAAAACCCCTTGAAACTCTTTTTTAAAAGAAAAGGAAGGAAAAAAAAAAATTTTTTAGTGTCACGGTGGGGCCGTACCCACTGCTGCCGGGCAGTGACTCCTCCGCAATGGATGCTGCTGGGCCCAACTAGGGCTTTCTTTTTGTGTAAACATTTTACATTACAATAGTGGCTACACACATAAAAAAAAAAACAAACCTTGAAACTCTTTTTTAAAAGAAAAGGAAGGAAAAAAAAAAGTATTTTTTAGTGTCACGGTGGGGCCGTACCCACTGCTGCCGGGCAGTGACTCCTCCGCAATGGATGCTGCTGGTCCCAACTAGGGCTGAGGATTTATCCCGGGACTGAAACACTCTGGAGCAGAGACTCTTTTTTTCTTGACACCGAGGGTGGGAGAGAAAGCTAACGCTGGGCCTAAAATTCTGTTAAATGCTGTGTCTTCCTCTCCCGTTTCAGCCTGGACACATTAGTGCATTAGATGCAGAGCCTGGCAGGCAGCGATCACTTAGCAGGTGTTGTTATTGGCAGGAATACTAAGGAAACCAAAGCTGAGGAGTGAGACTTAATGAAAACCAGTATATAAAAACAGCTTTTGTTGTGCTTGAGAATCTCTCTTTATTGCTGCGTATCGTTATTTTTTCAAACTATAAAGTACAGCTACAGCAGCTAAAACGCTCAGTCATTACCTCAACAGTTAAAAGACTATTTTTTTTAATGTTTTGTTATTACAGTTGCTAAAAACAGTATTTCAAAACAATCGTAACTGCTATGGTTAGGGTAAAAAAATACATTAAAGAAGGGATATCTAACAGTGCATTTTATTTAAAGTGCCAAAAGTTTCTTTAAAAGTTTTCTATTTTTAAGAGATGGTTATAGCACCTAGTATGCAGAACTAGTTGTTGGTTGATCCTTTTTCCTCCTCCTTCCCTTCCTGTGAACTTCGACGTAAGTTAATCCCCCAAAAGAAAGCACGTTTCCATTTCAACCTATTACGCTGATCACTAACACCAACAAAAATAGCATGTAGGGGAAGGTATCTTCATAGCAAAACCAGAACAAAAACTCTTGAGAAATTGTTGTTCTGGCTTTTTTATCTTGCGAAAAATTCACCTTACAAAAATATGTCACAGCATATTCCTTCACAGACAGCTTTGTTCTCACTTTATTCAGCCCCTTTCCTCTCACAAAAACAACATGTGTAGCAGCAACAGGAACAACTCCACGTGCCGCAAGCCTTAAGCTCCGAGATACTTCCATTTTCTTTTAAAGTGCTGCACCATTGGGCATTCTAATTATAAAGCTGGGCACTTGTAAAGGTGGCACCGAGCCCTGCCCCGGCTCCTGATGTGCTCTGCCTCCCCAGTCACCCTCCAGTCTGCCCAGGAGCAGGGGAAGAGCTGCCCTTTGCAGGACACCAGCCATCAACAGCGACCTCCCCGCGTACGTACCCATCTGACAACGATTTAGGCCATCCACCACTACACTACAGAAGACCGTGCTTAAATCTCATCGGCTTTAATAGGACTAAAGAGCTTTACTGAACAGATCCCTTGGAGGACTGGTGTAGTGAAATGCACCAGCTACTCCACCGCCCTTCCCAAGGTCAAAACTACTGCAAGGACCTAAAGCCACCCAAAGGTGGGGATGTGATGGATGGACACAGCTAGACTGGAGAAGCAACCCCTCCCCAAAGCCGGGTGAGTTTTAAATTGGTGCACATCCACCAAGGACCCGGCTGTGGTCCAACACCACCCGCTCGGCTGCTGCCTGAAGCCCAAAAGGTGAAGATGGTACCAGTGGTCAGTGTGGATTACAAACAGCACGTGGTTAACACAGACGTGCGGTGAGACGCTCAGTCACCAGTTTTACCTGCCTGTAACCAAATAGTTTAAAACCAAGCATTAAGATCCTTTAAGCAGAATAAAAGCATTTCCTCAGCCATGAAAAGGCTGTAATTTTAAATCCCAATTCACTGCTATGCTTGGATTTGCAGCTGCTCTTTCCTTTAAAATCACCGATGTACCATAATATATTAATTCTAACATACACCTTGCATTCGTTATGCTGGAAAAAAAAAAAATTAATTACTGGATGTAAAGAATACTTTGCACTGCAATAATGGTCATCAGATCTTTTTACCAAAGTCCTATCCCACTGAGTTAAAAGGACTAGGGTCTAGCACAGTCTATGCAATGCCTGTGTATTTTTTTCACTAGGAAAGCACAATTTATGCAAAACACTATACTTCTACATTTTATAATTAATTTTCAAATGCTTCACCTATACATATTTTAATAATTTCTGATTTATCAGATGGTATCTATAATAAATTTTTCTATATTTCAATAAATGAAAAGAAGGCAGTTTCAATCCAACAACAGAGTGCCACACAATATAGGCCTGTCAGGCACCAATTTTTACTTCTAACATGTAAGTTAAAGGATAAGGAATTTATAATGCTGCCTGTGAACGAAACCACTTTTCATACACAAATGTGATCTTTTTTTTTCCAAAGGGTAATACAACAGTACATTTACATAAACTAATCCAAACAATCTATGTATTTGACAATGGCAAACCTCACACAGACTGCCTATTGTTGGTTTACATCTTGGAGTTCTTTATGTTGGCTTGTAACACTGCTCTAGCTGTCAAAGGTTTGACTTGGACTCTAAATAAATGGTTATAGAAGTGCTGTGCAGCGATATTGGACTTCTTTGCAAAAGAAAACCTGCTGTGTATGAATTCAAAAGCTATTAATTTTTCAGTCAAAAATATTCATGCCTATTTCTTTTAATAAAGAAACACTGTGCTGAGCAACTGAGAGATAATGTTGACTAGTGGTACAGAATTTTCAATAGAGCAGTTAAAAATAAATTTAGTAGGAGGTCCCCAACAAAGCTATAATTTTCCAGAATGTAAAACATTTTTAATACTAATCAAGACAGCCCTTTTCCCCCTGCGTTCACTTTCCTTTTTTTCTTTTTTTTTTCTTTTTTTTCCGCTGCTTTTCCCTGTTTATTAGCTGTTAACACTAATCTTCATGGCGACACCGCCTGGTATCTCCGTAGCCTACAACACCCGCGAAAGCTTCCTGCCCTCCACGGCAGAGCATCGATCATGAGCTGCCTTGCCAAACATTGCTCGCCGCCTTATGATTTCCTCCCTTTAGTTTTTAATCCTTCCTCCTGAGGGGCACCGCTGTTATGAAAGGCCTCAAGGCAGAGTGCTTTGAGACTCCCAGATTATTCCACTGTTTTAATTTTTAATCCAGTAAGAGCTATAGAAACCAAACCTCCTCCCCATTCTGTTGGGTCTACATACTTTGCCAACAATGCGCTGAAGCATTTGCATTCAAGCTGAGATGGATGCCTGGAACTAGAGAAATACTATTTTTATAGACACCATAAGTAGTTTCTGCTCTAGAGGGGCTGGTATCCACTGGAGCTAGCAATTTTCGGCACCTCAACAGCTTAAATGGAAGGGTTTATACCTACCACTCACCTCTCTCCAAGAAGGCACCGAAATTTCCCGTTGACTTTGACATCTGCTCCAGTGTTGCTGAATAGCTGCAATTTTCTGTCTAGTAGCCTCCCTATGCACTCCTGCAGCCATTTATTTCCAACTACATGGAAACTGAGAAATCCTTTTCTAGTAAAAATGGGTGCGCGAAGTGTTTAATGATTTTATGTTCTCTATCTCTGTAATGTGTTCTGTTTCAGACATTAATTTTGTCTACCAACTGCATCTTGGCAGGCTACCATATTTGCTGGGTTAATAGTCTGACTCCTTTTTATTTCTATCACCATAAATCACACATATATGGGTGTGTGTTTGCTTTATTTATAGAAAAAAAATCAGTCAAAACAGATAAACCAATACTTCGTCATTATGCTGCATCATTGCATATTGATTAAAATTGCTAGTACTAACTATAGATTGTCAACGCTCAATTAATTTTCACACAATGACTCAAAGCAAAATCAAATAAAGCCAGTGTACCTTTAAATCTTACAAATCTTAAAATCAAGAAGCAAAGCACTCTCTCCATTTTGAATAATCATCGGAAGCTCTGAGGAACATTTTCAGCATTAAGAGGTTGGGAGAAAACAACAGCTGAAGAAGAGCCATTTTGGTCAGGGAAGGAGATGGTGGATTTGCCTGGGTTTGGGGGTACCCGGGAGTTGCCTTGGGCTGCGAAGCCACTTGCTTCCCCCGCACCCCCTTTTTTTAAAGGGCAACCTGGGGCAGAGGAGGTTTCCCTTCTCAGTTTCAACAGTGCAAAACCTGATACTGGGTAACTGCGATTATCATCAAAACATGCTGCTAGAGTCTCTTCTACTGTAAATGTCTGTCAGACAGGGAGGAAGCAAAATAAATATACTAAATATAATTTAATTACATCTCCTTCCTAACACTTCCTAAGATTTCATGCAAGTCGGACTGATGCAAAGCGACTTACAGGCTAGTCCATGAGGCCAGAAAAAGGCTCAACGCATCAGCTTTAGAGCAAAACTTCTTTCAAACTCCCTGAAGAGAGGGGGACGACCGTGGCGGTGCCTCCTGCAAAGCAGCGCTTTGCATCTCTGAAGCGGGCCGCGCTTCGCATCATGCGCTCAGGTGGGGAACAGGAAAGAGAGGTTTGTTGTGAGGTTTTGTTCGCTTTCGGCACAGTTCGGTACTTACGGGCTGAGGGGTGGCTTTTGGTTCAGTTGACTTCACATGCAGGTGTGTCATCATGGCTTGCAGGCGCTCTTTATCTTTTGCAAGCTGAAAGGGGAGGAAAAAGAAAAAAAAAAATCCTCTGTTACTCGTACGAATAGCACCCGGCCTCTGCTTACTCCTAATTAAACAGCTGGCACCGAGGCACGAGACAGAAGAGTTTTATTGCTGAGTAGTTTGGAAATTGTATATGCTCTATTCGTGAGGTAAAGCTAACGTGTGGTGCTGGATGTCACTATTTCCCAAAGCAAAATGCATTAGCCCTCGAGTGAGAAGAGCTAGACCTGCCGGCACCAAGAGCTTCACTCTAGCCCTGACAGCTAAAAGACAACAGTGAATCATGTTTATTAACCAGCCCCACTCCAGTTCAGGAGGCGCAGCAGAAAGCAAGCGAGGCAGCAGCTCCGAGATGCGTTTGCCTCCTTTCAGACCAGAAAACAAGCGGCACAAATGCACCGTGGCTTTTACGTCACGTAGAGGCTTTGCAGCATGCGCAGCGAGCGCGGAGGCAGCGGTGGTTAAACCACACGAGGCACCTCCGCGGGGCACGGCGGGTGGCCTCGGCTCTCGAAAACACCCTGCTTTTACTGGAGAAGGTGGCACAGTCCCTCGGGCGGCCACCCTGGGAACCTGAGCTGGGACACCCTGAGCGCGGGGCAGGAGCAGCAGCGTGAGCATACGCCCGAGGGCAGCAGGGTGGGAAAAGCGAAGAGCATCTGGAGCCGCCCCAGAGCGCTGATCACCACCGGACCGATGCGTTCACCCTTTCTCATCGGTCATGTCATGCCCAAGAGTTGGGGCAAAGCTCCTGCTCTGGAAGTCTCTTGCATTTTTTTGGTTGAGATCTGCACCAGGCCACAGTCGGTGTCTCGGGATCACACCGTATACATCCTTGGACGGGACGGCTTCCCAATGCATTTCAATGCACTGGACAGGCACTAAATCTCATTGGTTTTGGAAACAAGAAATCTTTTTGTATGTGCAAATAGGACCTTTGCCAGCTGCTCTTCAAAATAAGAAAAAAAAAACACCCAACAGTGGAAAGATATTAAGAAATAATACTGATGAAAAAAGGGTGTTATTAACCTACATGCCCAACAGCAAGGCTCCTGTTTCCAGCAGGACTTGGATCAGGTTCTTACAAATGACAATTTTTGCAGAGCTGAGTTTTTGCTTTAGACAAGCCAGATTCCTGGTGCCAAGAGGAGAACTGTGCTCGCATTCCAGCCGAACTTTAAACAACCTGCCCACCTTATCACCGTCATCTGTTTGTAGCAGTAAAGTTGGGCTAAGTGTATATAAAAGGAGCCTTGGTCATAAATCCTCGTTCATAACCTTACAGTCAAGGTTGTCTTGCTCTTTGCAAGGTGAGGGGTTTCTGACCACGCCAGAAAGGTGTCACGATGGGATAAAACTTGGCACACGGGTTTCCAAGACAAGAATTAAATAAAGGAAAAAACGGTGTCACCGCTGTGTGCTCTGGAAGCGCAAAAGCAAAAATCGCCGGGCTTTTCAAACAGCTGCTCTTTCCTTGGTCAAAAATCTCAACGGCAAGAGAGAAAACCTGACACCTACAGCAGATCTCCTGCAATCTCATCACCAGATCTGCGCTGGACTTCACAGAAGAGCCGAAGGGCAGTGCCGGGCTCTTATCGTAGCGCTGCAGCAGAAATTTCCCCCTCTGAGAGTCCTCTGAGGACCTCTTCAGAGAAAGGAGAGGTCTCACCCCTCAGCCGCCGTGCTTCACACAAAACAAATTAAAACTGAGAAATAGTTGTACTCTCAGTGCGGCTCTGTTGTGCAATCTCTCATTCGTAGCAGTCACTGGGCACACGGGCTGCTCGGCGGGGTCATCTGTGCATTAAATTTTGGTCTGCAGGCTACTGCAGAAGAACAAGGTCTTCTAGCCAAAATAAATAAAAAGGCAGGCACCTGACGGCTTCCTGCCCGCACCAGCACGGTGGCAGGAGGGAAAGGCACCCGGGCAGCACGGGAACATCCCGCAGCGCTTCCTCCAGGCCCCCTTGGCCAAACGGAGCGGTGCACCTCCCTCCCAACAGCCGGGGTCCTTGTTTGTAGTCTTTTCACTCATCATCTTAGCAATGTTTTTAACGCCGTTTCTGGTGGATGGAGGTTATTAAAGATCCTCTCGACATTTCAGGCAGACACACGCTAGCATTTTGTCATAGTCTAGGAATTCAAACACTCACCCAGTTAGGCAGGAGTTTAAATTATGAAAAATAGAGGTCTCTCAGTTTCAAAGCACTGAAGAGAAGTAAAAAAATCTGAAGAATTTCTTTAAACTGTTTTTCCCTTAGGTCAGGAAGCAGTAGTGATATAAAACTAGAATGTCACCAGTAGCCCCGCTGGCCAGTGGGATCACACTAAAGAAGCCACGAGGGCTTGCTCGGCCACCGATGGGAGCAAATTCTCACTGGTGGCACTCACTGGAGTGCAGATGGTCCAGAAATGGGCGTTATTAGTAGACTTGCTGGAAAATGCTCTTGATGTACTGATAATGTTTCACGGGCAAAGACTGTTCTGCCATATATGAAAGGATCTGCTCTGTATGGGGGGGTCGGGTCTGAGGCCACCTGCCCACCTGAAGTCTCATTCTTTTTTCCTACATCCATTTGGTGGGATTTTTTTTTTGTTCATCATCAGCCTGATTTTGTGAGGTTTCCCTCTCGTTGTTGGGGTATGACCACGATGTAGGTGCCTAACTGAGGTTCAACAGAAAAAATGCCCAGAGCAAGGTACATGCTTTGTGAACTTGGACACCAAGACACATGCCTTGCCCTGGAGTGGTTCTTAAATCCTAAAACTACACAGGTAGGAAAGGCAGGACAGGGAAGGCACAGAAAGCACAAGCCAGAAGGGGGTCAAGGCGAGGGGGCAGGACAGGAGTCTGGCGACCAAGGAGCGAGAGAGGAGAAGGCATTAGGCACAGATGATGGAGAAATCGCACAGGAGGAAAAACAGACAGAAAATAACGGCAAGGAGCAGGAATGTGAAAATGGAAACCCAGTGAGGGCATTCAACAGGAGCAACATGGTCACATCAACAAGAAGGGGAGATCACTTCAGCAGCAGGATTTTGGACAGACCAAGGACAAAGGAGAAGGAAGCCAGTTCTGGGCAATGCAAGAGACAACCAAGACGCAGCCTCTTCCCTCCCGTTACGTGCCTAGTTAGGCTGTGCACTAGAAAGGTTTAGGATCTGCTTTTCAAGAAAGGCAATGGATGCTTTAGGATTACAGGCCCAAGCAGTGTTTTCACTACTGAAAATGGCCAGCTGTCTTCATGTTCCCCCCATTAGGAGATGCTTTTTTAAACTTATGGTAGTTTTTTTGCTGTCCTGAAATGGTTTCCCACTCAAAGGTGGTGGTGCTGCAAAATGGAAGTGCTGCAAAATGGCTGTCCTATTCCAGCTAAGAACTAGCTAAGGATAGGGATATGTTCCTGTGTTTGTGTTTTACCCAGCAGCCCAATTCTCACTATTTATAATGGCAACAAATGATCATGTCAAGATGGTTTAAACAAAGTGAAACATGAGAAGATCTCTACCTTGTCTGTGATATTTTAAGTATGTTTGTGATAGAAATGCTGAAACCAAAGCTTCAAGATACTTCTGCAAAGGGGCATTTGCAATCAAACACACAAAAAAGATCTGCCCTGTTTTTTCAAAAAGTTCATTTAAAAATTTACTTTCTTTAAAAGATATTACACTTACGTCTGTCTATAATGCTGATAAAACTATTGTGCCTAAATCAAATAAGAGCATAAAGGAAAAAAGAAAGGCTTGCATTTGGGTCCATCACGCTCAAAACCTGAAATGCAACCCTCGGATGGAATGAATTTGTTATATTCTACCTGTCTTGATGGGACTGTACATGCATGAAATAGTGCGCCATTTAGATCTTGCCAATGGTGTAGGACCCCGAACACCACGTGATACTTCACAGCTCCACTGGAAGGAAATACTTCTTATCAGTGCTGAGCTCTGCGGGTCAAATGGGAGAGGCTATGGGTCCCTCTCCTATCTTGCTCACAAAACTCAAAGAGTCAGCCATAGGGCTTGTTGTAGCCACCCTGTTGGTAACTGCTCCATTGCGAGAGTATCAGGTCAATGGTCTTAGTCCAATTGCTCTTTACTACAACACGTTGGGTGCTGCAGACCACGTCATTGAAAACCCTGCTGTTGGGCCAGACTTTTCTTTTAGTTACGGTTCTGTGCAAAAACAGGTCACAGCCAGACAAACTAGGCACTGGAGGACAAATCCTCGCATGTATTTCGGCAGATTTTAATTTTTTTTTTCAAGTATCAGAGGACCGATACGTGGGATGAAAGGAGAGGGAGAAGGGAGTTACAGGTGCATTTCAGAAGCAGGACCACCCTCCTCCTCCACCTATCCTTGCTGGCCAATGCATAGATGGTCTCGCTCTGCTATCAACATCCCTGTCTAAATTAAGCCTCCAGTTCATCCTATCTACTGTGCTAGTATGATTGTTAAGAGACAAATCCAGAACTTTTTGGCCCTCACGCCACATGGAAATTACGTTCTTCTCTTGGGGACCTTGTGCTGCCTTCCCATGCAATGACTCTAAGCTAAGAGGCATTCCCCAGCACTGATACTATTAGTCACTGATAACGATCAGCAGAATGCACCGCTGATAAATCTTTCCAAAATATTGTCAAGGGCTTATGGAGAGGTGGTAACCAAGTACCATCTCTGTCCTGTCCAGCTGTTAACACAGGGCATCCTCCTGTAGTTCCAGGCACAGCCATTCCCAGCGACGGCAGGAGAGAAGGATTAATGCTTTTCAAGCCGACTGCAACTGAAGGATCTAGATTTACCTTCAGCCCAAATATTACTGCATCTTGGTAAAAGATTATCTCATATCTGAGTTCACCAGGAAGACTGCAGATTTCTTTCTCTTTTTTCTAATTCCCGAGAAACTTGTTAAAACAACAGACCGTTTCTCATAACGTTTTCTGCAAGACTCTGATACTTTATGACTAGTAGTTTGATTTTTATAAAACTTGCATTAAAATAGTTTATATTGCTTCAGCTAATAGTGAAAGAGTAAGCGTGTTCCTGAAAGTAAAATTTAGGAAATATCTATGAAAGAAAAAGGGTAATTTGTAAGATAAGAAGATAAAAGGCATTTTTTTAAATGCTTATCTTGAAAAGTAACAACAAGAAGTTTAAGTGTGTTTTTGCTGATTTTTCTCTCCAACTATTTGAAGCTATAAATGACTTAACTCAGTAAAATTCCAAATGTAATTATCTTCTGTACTTAGCCCAAGGCTTTCCATATATCTCTACACTGCTGTCTTGCATACAAAATAGGTTTTTCAATAGCTGGTAACTATATAATGTACAACATTGTTTTAATTTCCCCTTCTTTGCTAACCTCTTGCCTACACACAGACACACTGTCAAAGCCGCCCAGGCAGAGCAGCGAGGTGCGGGGAACAGAAAGGACTCGAAAGCATTTGGAAAGGCAGTTACACAAACAGGTCATACCTTTGCATCGCATTCAGTATATTCCAATTTACCCCCTTTTTGGCACTTTTTTAAAACTCATTTGCTACAAATGGCAAAAAATAATAGTAATAATAATAATAATAATACATGGAGAGTGTTAGTATATGAGAGACCACCAAACAAGCCAGGTCATGCAGCGTTTTGAAATAAACATCAACCATTTCCCCCAAGAACTCTAAACGAAGGGGACCATATTCCGCTCGCCCCCCTCCGCCCCCCCCGCCCCGGGTGAGTATAAAAAGCATTAGATACATACTGATGGATTTCC